AAAAAATTATGGACTGTGCTGAAATGAGTAAACTGACATTTGAAATTAGAGAACAAGAAGATAAGCAATTTTATATGATATAGGATTTGTTTTATCAATGGTTGGATAAAAAGGCATGGTAATATAATAGACTAGATAATTTTGTGATAGAAATCTAATAGATTGATATAAAACATAATACAGATATATATAACCACTGGTTGAAAGTATAACATAAAATGATGGAATAAATAGTTTAGTCATGGATGATTAATAACTGATAAATATATAAACATATGTTAATTTGACAATGTGAAGATTGATATAAATTGTGAGTAAATGACTATAAAATTATAGCATAAAAGATACGTAACCAACTGACACACTGTATGTATATAAAATGGAAGAGAATTTTATGTTTTTATGTTTTTGTATGTGTATGTTTGTGTTTAAAAATAAAAAACTTTATCTAAAAACAAAAGAACCAACTTATAGGACCAGATGACTTTGGGTCGACCACTCTATCTCAGCCACCTCACAGGGCAGTTATTTTGAGGAAACCAGGAGGATTGGGTATGTTCATTGCCTTGAGTTATATATAAAAATAATAAAGGAGGGATATAAATAAAGTAAATAAATAATAAATGAGAGATGGGACAAGTGCGTTCGCCAATGAGAAACAGCTCAGAAGGAAATACGTCAATCTTCACAGCATTTCTTTTAAGCCAGGATTAAGAATCAATTCAGTTTCTTAAGCTGAACAAAATTAGGAAAATAAGCTCCTTATAAAATGGATAGTATTTTACATCGAGGGCTTCTTTTTTCATAAACATAGAAGGAATGTAAGCTGGTTGGTTGCAGAGATGGTATTCAACAGGTTCTGACCAGTTCTGGAGAACCGGTAGCAGAAATTTTGAGTAGTTCAGAGAACCGGCAAATACCACCTCTGACTGGCCTCGCCCCCATCTAGTCTCTGCCTCCTGAGTCCCAGCTGATTGACTGGGTCTTCTTTTGTTGCCCTGCACAGGAGAACAAAGCTGGAAAGCAGGTTAGTGGGGTGGGGAGGGAATGGAGATTTTACAGTATCCTTCCCCTGCCACGCCCACAAAGCCATACCCACAAAGCCACACCCACAAAGCCATGCCCACAAAGCCATGCCCACAGAACCAGTAGTAAAAAAGTTGAATCCCATCAGTGGTTGTTTGGTTTGCTAATTATGTGGTAGCAGGCCACTGTTGACTCTTAGGACCACATAGATAGATCTATTCCAGGATGATTATTGATTGAGGTTGTTCCTTCTGAGCTGTTTCTCATTGGTGAACACACTTGTCCCATCTCTCATTTATTATTTATTTTATTTATATCCCACCTTTATTATTTTTATAAATAACTCAAAGCAATGAACATACCCAATCCTTCTATTTTCCCCATAATAACTATCCTGTGAGGTGGTTTGGACTGAGATAGAGTGACAGGCCCAGTCTCCTGGTCTTGTAACCTGGTTCTTCAGAGGTTCCAAAAATATTCTGATCACCACTGGAATCGGAGAAAGATACTATGTGATTTTTTAATTATTACTATTGCTGTAATTTTGTTGAAGAAAATAGTATGCTTTTCACATATAATACATGCCACAATAAAGATTCCTATGAATATTCCTTATGGCTTTGAGAAGCCTACATTTGAAATCTCTAAAGTTCTGAAGAAAGTGACAAATATGCCAGTAACAGTAAAACTACCATTTAAAAATCCTAGTTAGTGAACTTATGATGATACAACAGGCACAATCTGTGTCTGGAGATTGCCTCAGAATAGCAGGGAAAACCCATGTTATTTCAGTTATTCTGGCCATTTCACATAAATTAACATCCATAATATAAATGGCAATAATTGACACCAACAATGCAAATTCAGATTTAACAAACATTGGTCTGTGCCAGATATTCAAGCCACCCATATGGTCCTTTAAATTAAGGTTTTTATTTCTTACCGAGAATTCAACAGCTTTAATGTTGGAGAGCTTAATGGGCAGATTAAATATATATAGTTAATTTCTTGGGTCTTTGGGGTCCTTAAAGTTTCCAATTTGTATTCCTCTGTAAGGATGTTGCTTGATGAAGGAGAAGGCATACAGGACAAGACTTTAAATACAGACTGAAATGTGTTGAATCTCTATTCAAAACTCAGAATCTTGGATAATGAAAATGACAAGAGAATAGCAGTGTTTAAAAACCTACAGCATCCCAAAATTAACTTAAACTGCCTTTTGTTGCACAGATAATGGCACTTGCAAAATCTAATCACCAGAGACAATGTAGCACGAATTCCTAAAGGAGCTAGGGATATGATTGGTTTTTACTAGCCTAAAATTGATTCCATTCTAAATGTAAATTTGAGTTAAATATTAACACAGAGCCATGTAAGATATATAAAGGAAAAGAAACTCCCTAAGGAAACAAACAAAAGACTACTAAGGTGCTGATTTGAATAAAAACTTCTTATGCTAATTTATAGGTGCTGGGTATAAATCCCAGCCATGTTTTAAAGCAGAGCATTGTACCATAGTGTGAGGGCAGGAGGAAACCAGCACTAGATATCATCCATGTGGTTGTTCAAACTAAAATCTGCCAAGCAAAGTATTCAGCAACAAAGGAGAGTTTCTTATTTATTTGTTTGTTTGTTTGCTTATTTATTTACTTGCTTATTTATTTACTTATTTTTATTTGTTTGTCAAACATGTACAAGATAACAAGTGCAGGTATGAACATAAACATGAACAAAGGAAGTAAATACAGAGAAATGGGAACAGTAAGACAGGGACGGTAGACACGCTGGTGCGCTTATGCACACCCCCTTTATGGACCTCTTAAGAATGGGGTGAGGCCCAGGGTAGACAGTTTGAGATTGAAGCTGTGAGGGGTTGAGGCTGTAACCACAGAGTCGGGTAGGTCATTCCAGGCATTGATCACTCTGTTGCTGAAGTCATATTTTCTGCATTTTGCTAGCTGTCAGGATTCCGACAGTTACCCCAATTAAATCATGAGTCTCGAGCCAAACTTCCAAAACTTCAAAAGGATTTATTGGGAGCTAATATGTGCGGCACTGCCTGGGTGTAGCCAACTCTGAGACACATAATTCATTGTCACCCTTGACCCTGGTTTTCCCCCACCCCTCTGAGTGTATCATAATTCATATTCTCCAATGAGACATATCCATAGCCAAGAGTCATCAATCATGCTCTCCAGTTAGATCTTTGCCCGGCGGAAACTTCAGCCACCTAGTTACTATCTTTGAAAAACTTTATGGAATGCACTTTCGATTTCCAAGCTGCCGCATTGCTCTTTCAAACCCCTTTACCCCCTCCCTTTCTGTTGGCAACTCTAAAAAGACCATCAAAATATTTTATGAGTTGACACATTTATTCTCAGGAAGCTTGAGAATTTCTTTCCAGTTTCTCCTGACCATGATAGTAGCTTTCCAATATGGGGGGGGGGGGTTGTCACAGAGAAGAAGAGGACAACCAATTCGCTAAAGCACCTGAAGGCAGGACAAAAAGTAACAGATGGAAACTTATCAAGGAGAGACCCCACCTGGAACTAAATAGAAATATCTTGACAGTGAGAACCATTAATCAGTGGAACAGCTTGCCTTCAGAAGTTGTGGTTGCTCCATCACTGGAGGGCTTTTAAGAAGAGCTTGGACAGCCGTTTGTCCAGAAAGGTACAAGGTCTCCTCTTTGAGCAGAGAGTTGGTGGAGAAGACCCTCAAGGTCCCTTCCAACTCTATTATTCTGTATTTGTTGTTGTTGTTTTGGCTTTTGTTGGAAATGGTTATGCTGACATTGGGTTTTTTTTCCCCTGTCACATAATTTCCCACCAATTCAAAGTCATCCCTGGCTGTTTACTTTTTTTTCCCTCTGAGAGAAATGCAAGAAGAGTTTCTCCATGCTGTCATAGATCTAGGAAGCCAAAGAATGTGCAAACTGCTAGAAAGAGGACCGTAATGTAAAAATGAGTCATTCATCCACAGACTCTTTAGCGCAAAATAATCTAATAAGTGTGAGATGCATCCCAGTGGCATCAATCTTTGGGTTGGGAGTCAGAAATCAAGATGGTACCAGCAACCATGTGATCCAAGAACCTCCCCTTTTAAACATGTGTTGCATTCAAATCATTCATAAATGCATTAATGTTTTGATCATACAAACATGACTTCCCCCTTGATTTTCTTCATTCCCCCACCCCAGCCCGTGAAACCTCTGCTCCTTCCACAAGAATTTCAATTAATGTGTCTTCTTCTTTCGAACAAAATCTGAGAAAATTTTCCTTCATCAGACTGAACAAAACAGTACAAAAAATGCAGAACTTTTACTCTGCATGAGGGAAAAGTGTCTGCTGTCCTTAGAGTCCTTTGCCTTTAAAATAGAGAAATTCAGAAGCAAGCTGGCTGGAGAATTCTGGGAGTTGGAGTCCATCCATCTTCCAGTTGCCAAGGT